TGGCTGGGTACCCAAGGGGATTGGGCATTTCCCATGTAAGAAAGGTAATTACTCCTTACCTATATCATTATTTCCTATTCTGTGGGTGCTTCAAAATTCATTTAATATTATTAAAGGTATTGTTTTGTCCACTCCAGAACACTCAAAATTGCCAGTGAATGTGTGTTAGCTTTCTAATTTATCAGTTCCTAAATTATCAATCATTTTTAACCATTCTATTTTCCTGTGCTCAAAGTACAGCCAAATCTCAAGGGTGAAATACCAACCCCCGTAAAATACAGACAGGCTAAAAGAACTCCTGAAGTGCTGATCCAAGGATTTGTTGCTCATCTCAGTGAAGTAGGAGTTCCTTACCCCAAGCCTTATTTTTAGTACAGTGGGAATGGCACTGAGGCAGTGCTAAATCCCAGTAATTCCCAGTTGGATGCAGAGATGGGTGGGTACCACCCACCCTCCTCCCTCCCTGGGCACAAGCTCTGTGTTCTGCCTGCCCAGGTGCATTGGAAATCTCATTTTGTAGGAATAGTGATCCCCAGGGCTGCAGCTCCTCTGCTCTGGGGGCTCCTTGCTGTTCGCATCAACTGACTGATATCAACCATGTGTGATCAAATTTGCTTTATAAAACTCCCTAGACCAAAACTTTGAAGTAAAACCCACTAACATTTTTATTTTTCTAAGCCTATTAGCCCTGCTTTTCTTTGGCAATTAAAACCCACTGATGTATGAAGCAGTGATTGATGTGTGTACATTTCTGTTGGAACTGAGCAAAAGCAGAAATCGTTTCATCCCAGTTAAACAGGAATAATAGGTGAAAACAGCACTGACACTGCTTTTCTAATCATTAGGGAAAAAAGCCCTGAACTGCAATGACAAAGGGCTCACTAATGGTGAGTTTTTGACAGCGTGTCACTCAAGGCTCTGCACAGCAGAGCTGCCTCCCACATGATGCACTCACAGAAATTGGCTTTCCAAAGGACATGCAGACACCTGCCACCACCAATTTGCATCATTGACTCCTCATCTCATTTTCTGTAATATTTTTTGGGTGGTTTTTAATAGCTCTTGCACAGAGGGGTCTCTCCTAATTGCGGCACCGCTGTAATTACGAAGCGTTTTGTGTTCTAAAAATAGGCACGTGTGGAAAAAAATCAAAGCAAAGCGTGGAAAGGCTCCTGGGGCAAACAAAGGCAGCACAACAGAGCTCAGCTTTCACAAAAAATAGGGATCTCTGTCACATCCCCAGTGCCCTGAGACTGGCAGGCTCCTCAGGGAACTTGTGGTGTTGCAGTCGGGGTCCTGGGGCATGCTGAGTTCAGGAATTCTGTTATTCCCATTAATTCTGTCATTCCCATTAATTCTGGCATTTCCATCATTTCTGTTATCCCCATCATTTCTGTTATTTCCATTGTATCTGTTATTTCCATCATTTCTGTTATTCCCATTGTATCCGTTATTCCCATCATTTCTGTTATTTCCATCATTTCTGTTATTCATTCCCATAATTTCTGTTATTCCCATAATTCCTGGTTTTTCCATATTTTCTGTTACTCCCATTATTCTTGTTATTCCCATTATTTCTGTCATTCCCATTATTCCTGTCAATCCCATTATTCCTGTTAATCCCATAATTTCTGTTATTTATTCCCATCATTTCTGTTGTTCCCATTCTTTGTTATTCCCATTCTTTCTGTTATTTCCATTATTTCTGTCATTCCCATTCTTTCTGCTATTCCCATTCTTTCTGCTATTCCCATTATTTCTCTTATTCCTATTATTTCTTTTATTCCCATCATTCCTCTTATTCCCATTATTTCTGTCATTCCTATAATTTCTGTTATTCCCATTATTTCTGCTGTTCACATTATTTCTGTTATTCCCATCATTTCTGCTGTTGTTGCAGCCGGAAATTTGGAACTGAGGGGGCTCTGTAGCTGCTCTGCTGGGGTGGAATCCTCACCACTGAGACAATCAGTGGAGCTGGAAATTATGAGATGTGTAAATTCAGAAATCTGAGGCCAAATTTTACACTGACCCCATCAGCAGGCGCTGATGTGACCTTGTTTGTTTGCCCATCCTTCAATGCCATCTGGGGAATATTTCTTTAAAACTTTGCTTGCCTTAGAAAAAGAATGACCACATTTTATACAACTCAAACCCAAGGAGGTCCTAAAAAAGGAGGAAAGGCTGCAGTTCCTTGTGTTTTGCTTGTAATTGAATCTTCTTTGCTATAAAGACTGATTTTTGTAGGCAAAATTTGGGGAAATCTTTCATTACTCTGGACAACTTGGGTAATTGTTGCTGTGCAAAGCCATATGGGTTTGATTAAAGTTTCCAAATGCCGTTTACTGAGACAAACTACCCAGCCTTGAGGGGCTGTGGATCATTTCAGGTTGCTTAAGCTTTTATTAAACCCCACAGCAGCTCATTCCACACAATGACACCCTGCCCAAAGGGAGGAGCTGGGGGCTGACAGCTCCTGCTGGGCTTGGGAGTATTTCTGGGATCTGTGGCATCACTGCCCAAGTCGTGGCAGAGTTTTTCACAGAAAAACCTCATTATGGCAGCAGAGCCCCGTTAAGGCTGGGTGTTGGTGTGTGCATTGCACTCCAGTGCATTGCAGGGACAGATGTCAGGGCTCTGTGCAAATATTAGCTAATTAAACCTCTTCTGAGGGACACAGCTGAAGGACTTGTCCTCAGAGATGTGCAAACTTTGTCACCGAGAGCCAAAGTGACTTTCCCAAAGTCATGCAGCTGCTTTTAATCCAGCTGAAATTAAATAATAGATGCAGCTTTCTGCTTCTGTGGGCCTGTTCAGCTTGATTTAGAATTGATACTGTCCAGAAAGTGTTTAAAGGCACCTCAAGTCATTCATTAAATGAGGTGTGAGTAGCTGTTACTCACAATAACCTGTCTGCATTCCTCTTACACCCCCTGTTGTATTCTCCTCCTGCAATCATTACTAATTGCTAATTACTAATCCTTCTCTAGTGCTGGGGTTACTGGAGCTCACACAATATTTTCCTGTGCTCACTGGAGCCCTTGGTTGGTATTGTGAGAATTGTTGGCAGCACACTGATCTCCTGAATTGCAAGTGTTAGTATCTCAGTTTTTCCTTTTAATCTGGTGGGTTTGTTTGTTGAGTTTGGGCTTTTTATGGGCAAATAAGAACAGAAATCCTCCTGTGTTACCCAGGGTTTTTAGGTTTGGGGACAAAGTGAGATGGAACTCAATGGTGTTGCCACCTTGAAGTTGATGGGCTCAATGGTGTTGTCACCATGGAGTTGGTTTTATGGGCAAATTAGAACAAAAATCCTCCTCTGCTACCCAGGGTTTGTAGATTTGGGGACAATGTGAGGTGGAACTCGATGGTGTTGTCGCCATGAGGCCGAGCCCTCCTCTCTGCAGCTCAAAGATTGCAAGGTGGATCCCAAATGAAGCTCCTCACTAATAAAATCTTCATTATATCATTGTTCATTCCAATTTAGGTGTTGTGAAAACAAACCTGTGGCCTTCAGAAAGCACAATCAGCCTGATGGCCTTGATGAGGCATTAGCCTTTCTTGTAATTATCTTAATCCTGTTATTTTACTCAGAGGCAGATTTGAAGTGCTTGCATGAGGCTTTGCAGGGCTGGCTCCCAAAGCAGTGCAAGCAAGAGTGATGAATACTCTGCTTTATCTGCTGATTTTGACCATCCTTGCAGCATTTCCTACATGTTCATCCAAGCAGAGTCTGCTTTTCCTGGTAGCAATCCTTTCCTTGTCAATATTGATGTAGAAAACAGCACATTTATTCCTGCAGGCATTCTTTGGGCTTTAGGCTGTTCCTCCTCCTGCAGCTGTCCTCAGAGAGGATGAGATCCAGCCTTGTGCCTGTGTGCAGTCAAAATACATCAAAATCTGTGCACTGGCAGGTGGCCAGAGAAATGTTACAGTGCTTCCTGTAAAATAAAAAAAAAAATAATTTAAAAAACCCCAAAAACTTGCAGATTTTATAGAATTTAGGAATGAAGGATTATATCTCTCTAATTGATAATTTGTTTTCCTGTTCTTATTTTGTCCTAAGCCAGAAAAGAAACAGAGAAAGGCCCATAAAGGCATCTTTCCTAAAAAGGGAAATGAAGCGGTGACAACTTTGGATTTTATTTATTTAAATGTTTTTAAGTATGTGTGCAGAAAACATTTTTAAGAGAGGATAAAAATCAAGGCTCAGTTTTCCATCCTTGTAACCTCATAGTGATGTTCCTACCAGCTCCTGCTGATAAATATTTATCACCTCAGTGTTTCCTCTGGTTCCCAACTGCACTGACAACAGGTTTGTAATTGCCAAACCAAGGCTCAGCTACACTGGAAACAAGGGGGAAAAAAATGAAAACTGAAATGCAGGAAATTGTAAAGGATCAGAGGCTGCCAGAGTGATTCCATGTCGTGGTGCTCCCACAAAGCAGCTGCTGGTGACAATCCTGGTGGCACTCTGAGCTCAGAGTCACCTCCTCTCTTCACTGCTGAGTTCAGTGTGCAGGGAGAGCAGGGGGAGTTGTATTTTTGCAGTGCACGGGCCCTGAGGAGAGGAAAAAGAGAGAGGTGGAAGGAGGAATTTAATTTAATTTAATTAAAGCACTTCTGTGGCCTCACGTGCAGCTGGTGCAAGAGGGAAGGGTCTGCACACGTGGGACGGGAGGGCAGCAGCAGTGAGGGCTGCAGCCTGCCTGGGGATGGAATTGCTCATTCAAGGCAGGAATTCCTCCAGAATTCATACAGCAAACCTCCCCCAGCCTTACAGGTGCTGAGTTTTCTCCTTTCTGTGGGTGAACCAGCACCTTCTCCTTTCCAGCCTGGGCAAGGCATTTCCTGATCCTCCTGCTGATGCTCCTCAGCCTCCTGCTGCCTCCCAGATTCCCCCCAGATCCCCCCAGCCCACCCTCCACGCTGATATTTGCTTTATTTCACCATTTTCCTTTTGTGACCAGCCTCTAACCGAGTCCTTTCTCTCGTGGCAGACCTTGAGAACTTCAAGACCAGGACGAGGAGCACGGTGTCCGTCCGCCAGGGCCAGGGCATGGTGCTGCTCTGTGGGCCCCCGCCCCACTCTGGAGGTAAGGAGCTCTCCTCCTCTTGGTTTCAGTGAACGGTGGGGTTTCCCTTCTCAGGGAAGGGAATTCTCAGGGTTTTCAGGGAGTTTGGAGCAGTCACTGCAAGGACAGGGTGGTGGCAGGGCCACCCTGGCTGAGGGGGTTCTGGTGGCTGAGGAAGCTCCAGTGGGGGACAAATGCAGAGAAAGAGCATTTTATGGATCTGAGAGTAAACTTCAGAGAGAAACTTCTGAGTGTAAGCTTCAGAGATGGAAACTAAAGCAAAGTCTTCATATCCTGAAGGTGTGACCAAGACCTTCTAGCTCGGCCTTTCTGTTTGTGGCCTGGATGTGAGACACCTACTAAAACACCTGCTAAAAAGTTGACACCTGCTAAAAAATTGAAGTTGCTGGCAGAGCCACTTTTGTGCATCATCTTTTCATTATTTTCTCTTTTTCAATCACTACTGGCACTATTTTTTGTGTCCTGGGTACTCAGGATGTGTCCAGATCTCACAGGGTGCTGTTTGCTTCAACGAGGGCGGTATGAATGTTTAGGAAATACCAAACAATTCTTTCAGTTTAGCACAAACTCATTTTAATTGTGCCAGTTTGTGGCTTCCTCAGCGTGTGTGTTGCACTGCTCTGTTAGAAATGTGTTGGAGAGGGAGTGTGAGAATTCCTGCTGGAATTCTTGCTGTCTCTGACAAGCTCCATGTGTGTGTCCCTCCCCACCAGGACCACACCAGCCACTCCTTCATCAGGGGCTGCTCACTCTGTCAGAACAGCACAACCTCTCCCACAGATCTGTGGCCCTTTTAAAGAAATTTGCAATCCTGCTTTGAGGTCTGTCTGGCCTCATCAGCTGGATGGAAATTGCCCCCTGGACCATGTGCTGTTAGGCTGATGGTAACACTGCCAGGGTTTGATGCTGTGGTGCAACAGGAAAAACCTCCTCGGCTCCAAAGTGAAAAATAACCCAGCTCATTGGAACCACGAGTGGTAATAAGGGGAGAAAATGCAATTAGTTATTTTAGAATCTGATTAGGGCAGCGAACTCAGGTTCATCATCCTTGCAAAAAGTGCCTGATGGCATTAGTGACCACTGCTGAAACATAGGGCTAATAGTGGGAAAAATGCAGTGTCTTTTTTTTTTTTTTAACCTTAGTTTCATATGTGCATTGAAAATGAAATCTGAAAAAAGAATTTAAAAAGAAAAACTATTCAGTCTGAGAATTGCCATTGCTTTGTTGATGAGAGTATTCACTGGAATAGTAGAAGCCTGAAAAAACATCCTGGCCAGGTGCTGAGATTTGGGAAAAGAGAAACAGTAAATGGGAAGGGAATTATTTTCTGTCAGCCATTGTGTCACTGGTTGTCTTGGACTTAAAAATTGTGACTTTATTAAAAAGACACTGATCAGCATCCAGACCATTAACCTTTCATCTGTGGCTCTAATACTTTTCCACTTGGAAATATCCGTTTCTGAGGAGCTGTCAGCTAAAAGTGAAGTTGTGTTGGCCTACGTACATTAGTTGTTGAGGCTTTCTTTCTATTTTTTCTTGTTAATGATGCCCAATAAAGAGCTTCCTACTGTTCCAGCGTTACAGGAAATTCATCCCGAAAATGAGTCCAAATGATGAACACGTCCTTTCAGCACCAACAAATGGGCTGTGTGTGTGTGTACAGCTCACACAGAACAATTGGGCATTGCCGTGCACTGTCCCAATTTTTGGTTGGAAATGAGCTGGAAATTGAGGCCCATGGATGTGAGCTGCCCCCAGACCCCGGTGGAGACGGAACTCGCACTGCGTGCGGGGGGAGCCGCTGTTTGTCAGGTCACTGCCTCGTGCTGGTACATTCTGTTAAGCAGCATAATGATGTGATGGCCTCCTCTGATGGAGTGCATGCTGAGTGCTGGAGGTTTGGAAAACAAATGTTCGTCTGCAGCTCGGGAAGCGGCGGGGCTGGAGAGCGGAATGAATGCAAATCAAACATTTGCTTCTGCCGCGCTTTCCGCGCTTGCAGCACTGGATTCCCACTCCCCCCGAGGCCAGTCCTGCTGAACTGATGACCCCTTTGTCTGCTAGAAGTTCCAGTTCTTTTCCTCTCCTATTTTTTTTTTTGCCTTCTCTATTTGTTCCTAAAGGACTGGTAGAAGCCTGCCTTGGTTGTTAGGGTTTTTCTGAGATAATTACCCTGCGTGTGAAGGGTGTTCCCTCGTTATTTCTGCAGCTTGTTTGATCAAAAGCCCAACAATGGTCTTGTGTCAACCATTCTGCCCTGAAACCCCACAGAAGAAATCACTGAAGAGTAAATATTGCTCTGGGAACATGGCACTGGGGCCTGGGTGACAGCACGATGAGCTGGTGGGGTTTGAGTGCACAAGAGGAAACTCAAAAACCCTAAAAGTCTGTGTGGAGCTCAAATTCGGCTTTGGTTTTGTGCAGAACACCAGGGGCCCATCGTGGCCACAGCATGAACTGGGCAGTGCCAGTGATGGAGTCACAGAAATGGGTTTGGACACTGGAGGGCCATCAAAGAGTTGCTGTGACTTCTTTGTGAGTCTCATTTAAGTACCTCAGCCTGTCTTAGGGTGACTTCTAGAATTTGGATACCAGAATTCTAGAATTTGGATGTCAGAAGTCAGAATCTGGATGTCAGAAGTCAGAATTTGGATGTCAGAATTCTAGAATTTGGATGTCAGAATTCTAGAATCTGGATGTCAGAAGTCAGAATCTGGATGTCAGAAGACAAAGCTCTCCTGCTTTGTGTTTTCAGAGCCCTGTGAGATCAACCATTGGTTCACAGAATGGTTTGGGTGGGAATGGCCCATCCAGTGCCATGGCAAGGACACCTCCCACTGTCCCAGGTGCTTCCAGGAGACAATTCCTCCCTCCCAGGGAACAATTCCATCCCAACATCTCACCTAACCCTGCCCTTGAGCTGTCACAAGAGCAGAGCAGAGGGGAAGAATCCCTTTCCTTGACCATCTGGAGAATTTTGAGCCAAAACAGGGAAAATATCACCAAAAATGGCTTTATTTCTTCTTCTGTGTTTATTTCTGTTGCATTTTTAAGGCATTTAGAAGCCATAAACCTTTTCTAAGTGTGCAGTAGTGTTCAAGCTAAGCTCCTTGTGGAAATGTTTTCCTTCTGAGGAGCTCTGCAGGGGGGAACACCTTTCCTTGTTTGCTTTTTTTGCTGTTGGTAATCAAATTTGGCAAGATCCATTTCTTGTTGAGATAAACTTAATTGAAGCAAACAAACAAAAAGCTCCAAAATCCAAAGCAAACACTCACTTGTGTTTCTCAGGCTCTGAATCTAAGTTGTGTTCCAAAGGGGATGTGCCTGGGAAGTATTTGGAGGTCACTGTCCTTTTAACTTTATCCCCAAATTTTAAGATAAAATATTCTTTTGTGCCAAATAGTTCTTTTCATTTAACTTTGTGGGAGCTGAGTCATTTAGCTGCCACTTTTATTAGATTTATTTGATAGTCAGGGCAGGGTTGGTTAATATTTTAGCAACTACAGTTTTCAAATTCCTCCTAGCATCCCTGGCATTTCATTGTGAGTCCAGAGGCTAAAAAAATACAGCCTTGGAAAGGATTATCTACTTTACAGGCTGGTAGCACACCCTTCCTCATGCAATACAAACAGGGCTGGAAACCCTTCCCCTCCCTTCTCTGGGAAGATAAATGAACTTGTCTGTAGGATTCCTCTCCCCCTTTCCTGCGAGCTTCTCGTGGTTCATCTTTAGAAAGATCTATAACCACGTTCTCATGACATTTGCCTTGCAGCCCCCGTGGGAGCAGCCTGTGGAGATGGAGCTCTCCAAGCGCTGTGGGAAATGCTGAGTGCACACACTGAGGGCTGCTGGAAATGATCTCTCAATTACTGGGTTGTTGGAATTCTGTGTTCTCGCTGCGGTCCCTGGTGGTGTGTCCTGCTCTGGGCTCTGCCCATTCCCCCACTCACCACAGCTGGAGCACATCTGTTCTCACTCCCAATCCAGCTCAGTAATCTGGGCAAGCAATCAGCCAGCTGATGGCGTGTTCAGATACCAAAGTGCTCAGCTGGGAACTCACTGGTGCTCTGTAGGATGTGTCTTCTCCTGCAGAGACATCCTCAAATGTTCCTGCTGTCCCTGGAACTGAATCCCCAACAATTCCCCTCTCTGAGCCTCAGTTCCTCACACTCTTTGTCCCTCTGCTCCTTTCTGACCCTGAATTGGGTCAAAACCATAAATATCCTTGTTGGCAGTGTTTTATTGGTCAGTAAGTCCTTAAAAGGTCTTGCAACTAGAAGTTTTGTGACCTTCTGAACCATGTTGTAAAGATGTGAGCTGAACTCCCCCTTCCTGCCTATGCAGAAGATAAGAAAATAAACCACATAATCTAAAAAACTCACAAGTCCTGTCTCTAACTCAAAATTCCTTCCAAAATCCCCATAACATTCACTGTGTACTTCATGTACATTTTTTCTCACTGATGTCCACCAAAGCCTTCCCAGAAAACAGGCAGGATCTTGGCTGTCCCCTTGAGTGAACAAAGGCAGGATTTCAAGGAAAATCAGATTTCTGTCTCTGCGGTGCCCGTGTTCTCAATGCACTTGGAAAATTCCATTTTCCCAAAGAGGAGGAGATTCATCAAAGCTCAGTTGTTCCCATAATTCTTTCCTATCTGATGCCATCGCTCCTGATGGAAACCCAGCCATGGATGGGAGCACATCTGTGTCTGAGCTGAGCTGTTGACAGAGAATTATTCCCACACCTTTTCACAGATTGGATGCATTCAGGTTTTCTCATTCTCTCCTGCCTTTCTTTCCCTGATGGTACCCAGGAAAACTTTAAATTCTGTTGCACAGCTTAATCAAGTAGAACTAACTAAATTTTAGCATTTGTCAGAGGAGATGGCAATTCTGATCCCATCTCAATCCCAGCCTTTCATGCTGCACGGGCAGGAGTGAAGTGTGGACACCAAAGGTGTTTGCAGAAATCCTTAGAAAAGCATTTTACAGATTCCAGT